GCTTGGAGGCCATCGCTCTTAGGTTGGAGGCCATTGCTAGTAGGTTGCAGTGCATCGTCGAAGACCTTCAGCACTGGCCAACACAGCCGCACCGGCGTAGTTCCTTCACAACTATATGTATAATTGTTGTTGGCAAAACCGAGTGGCAGTGTTTCTGCTCGTGAAGCGATATGCCTTTTACAAGGGACGAAGGGGAGTTGAACTTACGGAAAGCGTCACGCGATTGAGAACAAAAACTCCTGGACTCGTGGCATACCCAACAGCAAACTTGATTAAAGCAAGTGAAGCTCCTTCTATCTACATACAGATACAGATTTTGTCAGAAGTGTGTGCCAAGGAATCAAATTGAAATAGGTTCTTCGAGGATCATGAATACTAATAGAATAATGTCAGAATCCCGCATCCCTATCCCTACTCTCAGCCTTGGAGCGTGTCTGGTTCTCCTTCTTCGGCGAAGTAGGTTGTTCCTCCTCCAGTTTCCTGCCGCGAAGAAGCTTGAGAAACTAAAACAAGTAGTTTTGAAACGGTTCCAAACCCACTTGGTTGTCTTGTATGTTCAGGCAAGCTACACTGTTAATGGTTCGGACATGTTCGCACAGTTGCATCATGTTGCATCCATTCAGGTAGTCAAAACAGTGAACGAAATCATCACGTTTAAGTGACTGATTGTTTTTAAGACTGTGTGTTGTTCCTTTCTCTTCTAGCGGTTTCTTTTTTGTTAACAGGTCGAGGGGATCCCAGCTGTTCTTTTTTTCCCACTTCCATTGGATTACTTTCTCTCTCGCTCTCTTCGTGCCGGGTCACTCCGAAGTGCTTTGGACCGCCAGCTGCGTGAGTTCCGAAACGTTCCCAGAGGTTGAGCTGGCAGGAAGCGAGCTCGGCTGCAAATTGCGCCCGGTGTTCTGCAAAGGCTTCTCAGGCTCCTCCCGGACGCAGCGGGCCATGCGAAAAAGCAACACGTGAGTTGCATGAGGTATGGAACAGACCTTGATAGTTCATGCTTCAATCTACGATTCGCTCTGCAGGGTTACGGGGCTTTGTAAGGTCTGGTACAAAATCTATTGGAGTTGGGAAGTGCTACAACACCGCCAGCAACGCGTCACAATGTTTTCGAGGTTTCTTTCTGTGCGGAGTTGTTTGCGTTTGGGTAGCATCCGGATGGCCTGCTGCTTAGTAAAATATAATTTGCACATACAAACTCAGCGTAGTCCAGTCACTTGCAGCCACTTGCAGCCACTTGGCAGCCACTTGCAGCCACTTGGCAACCACTTGCAGCCACTTGGCAGCCACTTGCAGCCACTTGGCAGCCACTTGCAACCAAAAAGCTCGCAAGCCGCAAGCAGTGCCAAGTCACTGGAGATTGCTCAGAGTTCTTCGTGTAAAAACCGTGGAGAACATTAAGATTTCTTCATCGCCAGCTCTGCAGAAGTCCGGGATTTCTTCGCGGAAAAGCATCGAAAAAATCCTGGTTTTCTATGATATTCTCCGGACAGAAGTAGCAGTCAATTGCAGCCACTTGACAGTCACTTGCAGCCACTTGGCAGCCACTTGCAGCCACTTGCTTGGGCAGGCACTTGCAGTCACTTGAAAGCTGCAAGTGGCTGCAAAATGGAAGATCAAAATGCGCACCTCCTGCAAGCTCAATGCAATCTTGGCTCAACGAATCAACTGATCATGGTGTCGGCAAGATATGGGCCGCATGTTGGTGCAATGGTGTCTTGATGTTTCCATTGGTGTTTGTTCTTTTGTTGAACATAACTAATTAAAAGATATGAAAAGCTTACTGCTAAAAAAGAAAAGGCCGTTTAAAATCACCTGGGTCAGTGGAGGTCAAAATTGAGGTCGAATGAGGTCAACCTTGACGTGTCGCCTGCGCTGCATCTCGGGCGGCTTGAGTGGCCGTCACTGCCTGCCGACGGCGCTCCAGCTCAGCCTCGATGTCCTTCAGAGCGGAGGAGAGGGGAGCCAAAGCGAAAACGCGAAAGCACAGAGTCTACGTTCCTAGTAGCTTCTTGTTCCTAGTAGTACGGCCAGGAGCCCCTAGTAGCGTCTTTGCTCCTAGTAGCGATGCCAGGAGCCCCTAGTAGTGTTCTTTGCTCCTAGTTAAAAGCATTTAAACAACTATCGTTCAACTTCCACTTGCAAGACGGCTTTGCTCAACTTATGTTGTCACACCGACTTCTGTGGAATAAAGGGCGCCGTGGACGTCCTTTCTGTGGCGAAGACGATGGTTGTAGCGTTGCTTCTGCATGCGCTGTGTTCGTTGTACACCTTATGTGTATGCAGACGACTGGTCAGATATTAGGTCTCTTGCTTGGAAAGCGTGGTGGGAAGGCTTTGCACGAATCGCGCCACCACATTCTGAGCGCGCAGACCGACCGTGCTCAGGGATGTCATGGCAAGCCGAGATTGAAGTCAACATCGCAGTTGCTCACGATGCTGCACAGCGAAAAATGTGAATATGAGGGGTTGACCGCTCTGTTGATTGTTGGCCATGGATGGATGGCGCCCTGCGAGCGAGACACAATGGCATGGCCCAAGTTCGAGTTGCTTGTTCTTTGTTGCTACGATGAGTCTGACTCTTGCTAGTAGAGGTGGCAAGAGTGAGTGCCCAAGTGCTTCAGTGCAGCGGAGCGGTTGTTCTTGCTCTTTGTGTGGGGCTGTAGTCTATATAAGTTGTACAAATTTGGACCGCCCCACGCCCTTGGGGAGAATAACTGATCTGCTCGTGAGGTCGCTCTCAAGTACATGAGGAAGTTGCAGTTTTCTACACTATGCTTCTGCATTTTGTGAATCTTGATACAAATCATACCGGTAGCGTAGCTCTAGATTCAAATGCCGATGCTGCTTAGTGTGTTTGTTTTCTTACAAGGAATGTCTAACCATGTGAAGTTCGGGCGTTCGGTGCCCTGTCTTTGTAGCTTTGTAGCTAATTTCTTGCGCGTGGTATGATTTGCCTTTCAGTCTAGCTCGCCCAATAAGGGCAAAAGATTGGGGGTTGACAAGTTGAGTCAGCTGCATGTTAAATAACCAGATGCTGTGGCCACAGACGGAGTCTTCGGCAAGCACAAGCCAAAGGAGAGGATACAAACATGTTTTGTGTATACATAATACATATACATGTATATATATATATAGTTGTAGATGTATGTATGTGATTAATATATATATATATACACATATGTAACTCTGTGTGGCTCAAGGCTCAAGCCGTTTAGCCTCAAGCTCGGTGGCTCTCGGCCGCCGAGGGTCCTCGTCTACCAGTTCACCACGAGGCTGAGAATCCCTCCGGCCAGATCGTGAAGGGTGCCGGCATCCATGGACATGAGCGGCGGCCGCCTTTGCAGATCTTACCAAGTTTGTGGGGGAGATCATTGCTTCAATTGGATTTGGTCCGACAAGATTCGAGAGGGCTATGTTTGCAGGCGATGCGGAGAGCAGTGGCCCTGTCCTCCTCAAGGGTATTCTCAGGCCCCACCGTCCAGATCACCCAAACGGTCAGGCCGACAGCAGATGCCACTGAAGCCTCCCCCAGGCCTAGGCAACAAGCCCTACAAGCTGACGAAGATCCAGAAGGCCACCGCTGAAGCTTTGGCACCGGCTTGGTCTTCTTTGGACCAAACCCTGCAACAACGCCTTCAGGAACTTGGCATTCAGCCACCGCCCCCAAGCCCGGGGCCGGATCTAAAAGATGTCCTGGTGGAGAACATGGCTCAGCTGCCGCCACAGGTCAGGGAGCTCGTTGAGAAACTAACCAAACCCTCACCTCCCACCGAGAAGGACATTGCGTCCAAACTCAAGACCCAGGTTTCTCTTTTGAAGGACCTGTCTCACAAGAAAACGCATTTGCAGCAGAAAATTGACCACACCAAACGGTCCTTTCAAGATCTTCTGGAGGAAATGAAGGCAATCCAAGGGCGCATTGAGGCCGAACAGAAAGCTCTGACAGCCACAAGTGCTTCCTACATGAGCATGGTC